CGGGAATTGTTTTAGGGACATGTGAATAGTAAAAACCGAATTTCAAAACAAATGGGTTTTTTATCAGATCAGAACGGACACAATTAAATTGAATAATTGATTTTCTTTCAAATTCAATTATATCAATATATAATCCAAATCGTTCGGGATCTTATATATCATATCTTCACTGATTACGAAGTGAACACATAGACTAGTTACAAAAACAAACAAATCAAAATCGAAACCAAAACCAACCGTCCAAGATGCCGCGACTAAATTATATAGTTGATCTCAACTCGGCGGACTTCAACGTAAACGAAGGTACGCGAGCAAATACTTTGTATCATCGTATGCGTTACGATGACTTTGCAATCGGTCACCAACTTATGGGGGAACACACTATTGTGGAAATCGAAAGGAGGCGCGTTGACGGTCTAGGGACCCCGCATAGTCAACACCACTAATTAAGATGACTTTGTTGCGCGCATGTTCTTCGACCTCAGCGCACATTGGGCGTTGCCAGACCATACACCTGGATCACCCGGGGAGAATATCCCAGACAACTCCTAGAGTATCGTGACCCGTATCACGCTTACATCGGGGACCGAGTTTGACTTTCCATGCAATCACATGGACTCGGATACCGATAACGGTGGTCTGGGAACGGCTCTGAGCCGATTTGGCGAGAGCAAGGATGCGACATGTGTGTATGATTCGCTCATAATCACTGCCTGCTTGATATCGGACCTCATCCTTAAACATGACGGTGCCCGACCCGGCAAGTGTGGGGATGCAATGATCAACAGTCGGGTGACCCTGATCCAGCGCGAAAGGGTAAAGTACCTGAAGTTGCGGAATAATTGCACCACGGCGGAGGACCGTGATGGCCTTAACTGTAACAGTATGGCACATCTGGCGGATCGGACCAATTTTTCATCATTCTGGTGACCATTAACAGGAAGCATCTGATGCATGTCAAGCCGATGAAAAATCATATGGCGGCAGCCGGCTTGAGTCCATCTTGGACGTCCCAGGATATACGAAACAGGTTAGTGTTGTTTACAACCCTAAAACCCTAAAACCTCTACTCTGCGGCCTTGTTAAGTTTAGCCAATATCTAGCTAGGACTAAACCTTGGATTTCCTACCAACATCCAAAAGTACAAGATGCGCTGGTAGCCCCGGTTGTAGTTCCCCGAGAGCTTCGTCGTATTCCCCTTATCCTTCGGCAACGTGACGTCTCCTTGAGAAACAGAGTTCCAGACTCGGGCAATTTCGTCACGTCGGGGAAACAGAACGAGTCCTCATTCAAATGGTCAAACTCGGTCCACATATTGCGCCATTTCCGGTTCGGTTTAGCATTTGGGTCGTACGCCACGAGCCCAAAACTAAGCACACCCTTCTTACCCATCACCATTCTAGACCCAACGGTCGCGGCCTTGGTTCTATTTCCCTGTACATCAGATATGACCCGGATGTCGGACTTCTTACACATCTCTTCTAATTCCGCCGCCGTCTCGGACGTCGGCTTTGTATTCAATTCAGGTGCGGATCTAATAGTCACATTACCCTTCGATGTTGCACTGAAACGGCCACTTCCACCAGATTCAGGCTCACTTATTGGAACCCTAAGTCTCGGTGGGGAGACCGACTTGGACCGAGAGTTCCCGGTACCCGGACTTGTCCTGTTCATCACGGTGGTTTTCTTTTTAAGGGTAGTCGATATCAATCTCGTTGTATTCTTTTTAGTACCCACGGAGTTTTCTTTTAACTTTCCTTTTTCTTCTGATCACAATGGCAAATTCCCACGCCACACCGAATCATTGGCCGTACAGTAATATACTTTTAACGATTTTCTTAGGTCCATCTTGAATATATATATTTATGTCTTTTATCTTTACAGTGTAAATATGATCACCGTCCCCCCCTTTTCTCACAATTCTTAATCATAAACAATTTTTTTTCTCGCATATTGTCAATACACCATCACAGCCCAATTATATACTCCATTACGCCCCTTCCACCCGAGTACATATCAGACCACGTCATGTTCTTCTGTTTTCTATTTAATCCCGTATAATACAATACCAACATGTCGCAAACTCTCATAAAAACAAAACCATTCAACGTACCCTCAACCTACTATATGCCATATACGGCATACTTCACTATTTTTTTTTTACACAATCACATTCGTCACCATTTAGGTCGGCAACGAAAAAATAAATAAAATATATATTACGACTTATGTGTTTATTTGGAAACAAATCATACATCACGTCCAATTAAATCTCTCTAATTCAACCACGACGAAATCAAATAAACTACCTACTCATATCCTGTGCGCCGTTTCGTTGACCATCGACATATCATTATGGACATCCCCGTCACGTCAAATTAAATCTCTCTAACTCAACCATGACGAAATCAAATAAAATACCTGCTCGTATCGTGTGCGCCGTTTCGTTGACCATCCACATATCATTATAGACATCTCATATTGACGCCTATGCATATGCCAAAATCTGACATGATGTCAAAATTCAACGTCCACCGCGTCACGATACACGGCCCAACTACGATAGTTGCTCATCCATCATGTATCATATCGTCGTCCTATATAACTATCTTGTCTATATTCATACCATCTTGTACAATTCATAGTATCCGTTCCCATATTGCAGGTCCGATATGCCAAATGAACAGCGGGTCGGCGGCGATTCAAGTGTCTTGGACATCCGATATGCCGCCCGATAGATGGACTGCGACGTCATTCATGCGCGTTGTCGTGCCAGTCCACCGTCTTGGCATCCAAGGGCTTGAACGACGTGTCCAGGACGGCCCATATGGTCTGGTCCATGGACCCTCATAGGGCCGTCCTGGACTATGGTCGTCTTCTCGGTGCCCCTTCTTGTCTGTCAACCCCATATAGGTCGCCTATACGAATGCGTGTACCACCATAATAACCCCATATCACCCCGTACATCCCATGTAGACCCCCCCCATGTACACTATACGGCCCCTAACGAGATCTGTATACCTTCATCTCGGCCATGTGACCGCCATATCGGATCGTTGAGTATTTCATATCGGCCTGTTCGTTATTCATATCGGCCAAATCATTTCGGTGGGGTAAACGCAGGCTAGGGGGGGGGGCGGTGCAAGTTTGCCATAACTTTTTGGAATTCTGCTGTGATAAGTACAGACCGAAAGACGCTGACTTAGAATGAGTATTGCGCTCTTCTCCATGAGAATGTGAAGAAGTGCCTGCTTGCTCCATCTACTAGGAAATGGTAGAATTCCTCCCACGAGTTCTAGTTTCGAAAAGAATTGTGCTGCTTGTCAGTTGTGTGATACTTCCTTTATTTTTGGTAGTACAAATTTGTCTTGTTCGTATTTGCAATTACTCTCGCGTTAGTCTAAAATGTCCTTGCTTTCTTGAGGAAATTTGTTTGGTCATGTTATCCTGTAGATAACAGTGGTAAGTTCACCGTTGTTGGTGTTGTTCGTTTGTATAGGTGACCATATTTTCATCCGTTTGTGGGATGTACATCTGTGGTACAAAGTTTACTTTGGCATGTCCCATTTGTCTGACATAGATTTTATTTGCAGGCTCCGTAACTTTGGGGCCTGACAGGTTGCAATGTACGTCAGGAGGTATTTTTGCATTGGTTTCTAGGAGGTCTGCAGGTGACTTTCTGAACCCTTCTTGTTTATGCGCTGGGTCTTTCTCATGCGGAGTGAGTAGTGATTCCGATTTTGCATCTGTTGGTACAAGTAGATTTATAAATCCTGCTATATATACACCAAAGTAAGGAAGGATATTCATACTTAGAAGTCCGTAGTTAGCGTCACATACTTTGGTTGACCCTATTCTTTGTATTATCACATCTGTTTTTGCTAATGCTATGTAGCCTGGTTGCGCTCTGACTGATTGTAGAGTGTGGAGAGTAGCTGGAAGGTACGAGACAATAGGATACAATAGACCTTCTCAAGTACAGATATATCAGCTAGGAAAAGTCCCTAGTCTGAGAGAACCGAACTGGGTCTTTATTTGTGTTTTCACTAGACTCAGGATTTACTTGAGTGTTTCTCTCGCACGCGGGAGTCCCGGTTTAGCTTACCGGTTCTACCGCTACTATTTCTGATGACTCTAATATCAGAAATATTCCAATCCTAATTCCAAAGCTCATTATTTGATTATTCTGGGTTTTGGGTTTTGGATTGGCATTTTGATAATCTGGTCCCTAGATGCTACAGTCCCCCAACTTTATGCTTCTTAGCCTGCGTAGGAGTAGAAAGTGACATCTTACAGTACTAGATTATCTAGAGGCTGGTGTTTGTATACAGGGAAAAACTTGTCTCTTAGGAGGCATAAAATGAAAAACCTACCACATTATCTATTACATATTACTGATTAATTAAATTTATAGTTTAGCAGGATTCCTCTACCACGCTCATCGGAGTCAGTCTTGACCGGTGCTCTCGGTTAACCTCAACTTGGCTTAGGAAAAAACGGTGGCTCTGCAACCGAGTCTCTGGTCCTTATCCCTCTGGTGGAGTGGGGGGAGCATGCTGGAGCATGCTTATAACTTAGGTCCCCCGCCTCGTACGCTGTCTGTGGCTCGCTGATCTTTCATCAGTGCTCGTTGTCGCTGGCTTCTTTGGCCTTGACTGCCTTCTTTTACGTCTCCGACGTTGACGGTATGTTGTAATGACATCAGCATCTGCGATGTCTGATTCATACGTCCAGGTACGCTCACCATCTGTCCATTGCAGTAGGTACTCCTAGGATCCATCACCTCGGATGGACCGCCTGTCGTCGACTATCGATGAGAACTGAGTCTCTTCGTTTGGTTGTACGTGATTGGTAAGTGAATGCTTCCGGAGCACTGGCCTTTTTTACGAGGCCCAGTAGCTCATCACTGATCGAGTCAGAATACTCGGGGGCTTTAGTCCCATCAAGGTTACAGACAAAATACCCGTTGCCCTCCCTGCATACTATTTTGTATAATCCACCATTTGGTGCTGTTAATTTGTTCATTTCACCTTGATAGCGAACCATGACAAGGTCCCCTTCCTGTAAGTTTACGTACTTCTTTTGGTATTTTGGATCGTATGCTGCGGGCATCTTCTCTTGATACCGTGCAACAATACTATTTAGTTGTGGCCTAATGGCTTCTTCGAGATTTGGCAGTCGCTCTTCCCAATATACTGTTGTACTGGGCGCGGGTAGTCCGTGAGTTGATTCTGTCTGCGACCAAAGTACACATTAAAGCGCGGTGACATGTGTCTTCTGGATGTACGCAGACTATGATCCATCTGTACGAATGGAAGTCGTGAACACCAGTTACCTGGATTCTGTTCAACGAATTTCCGTATAAGTGGCATGAGGTCTCTATGTGATCGTTCGTTCGCGCCTAAGACTTTAGGTTGATACGGCCGAGAGACTAGGTGTTGCATTGGCGCTTGTTCAACAACTATTGAGAGTATGTTGTCAACGTATTCAGTGCCATGGTCAGTCTGTATGATTTGTGGGAATCCATGTTCACACATGATTGGTACCAGCGTGCGTGCTATAGTAGCCGCTGATTTGTCCATCATTGGACGTAAAATGACATATGATGAGTGTACATCAAGCCATACTAACACATATATGTGTCCTCTGTTGGAATTCAATAGTGGACCTATGGTGTCCACTTGGATTCTGTCACCTGGATATGCGGCTGTGATTGATTGTAAGGGATGAAATCCCTTTTTGTGTATCTTTTTTTTTTTGAGATATGGTATGCATCCGTCAATGAACTTGTGTGCATGTTGTTGGATATCAGGCCAATCATGTCCATCTGTTTGCAACTTGTGTACCGTTTCCTCAGAAGGGTAATGTCCCAAGGTGTGGTATTGCTCGATGATGTTGACACGTGTCTCATACTCTATTGCCTGTGGTGCATCCCCAGAGTGAACTGGTTCTGATGCCGCAACATGTATAGCAGGTTGTTCCCGCGTTGTGTCAAAGTATGGGGACTTCGCTCCTATCTTTGCGACTAATGTGACACCCCATGGGGTCCTGCCACAAGCCTTCTTGACCTCTTTTAGGAAAGTATTGCTTGTGTTTTCCACTAGCATCGGGTCTCCTAGTAGTAAAGACAAGAAGTTTGGAAACCACGAAGCATTGGGGTAATATGGTACACATATAGTGATACTGGTTGCCTCTACAATGACTTTGTCAAGGATATAAGATATGAGTTCCCATGGTGGGTTCGCCCATGCATTCACTTCCTGCGCCCACTTTTGTTGTAGCGCATTCTGTTCCTTGGTGTAGTATTTATATGTGTGTGCATTGTGTGCCGGTGCAATCAGATCTACAGTGAACTTTCCAAACCTTTGTTCCGCTTCTTGATAGAATCTGGGATGTAGCATCCAATCTATAGCCGATATGGTACTGGGCATGTTTGTTTCCAAGGTGTTGTACTCTTGGCTATTTTGTGTTGCCTCATTCGCTTTTTGTAATACTTTTGACTCTTTAGTACTAAAAGTATCTCCATGGAGACGTGACAACATGTCTGCCATCTGGTTGTCCTTGCCTGGGACATGTATGATGGAGAAATGGTGGTGGACCGTTTTCGCTATCCATTTGGCTAGCATTGGATGTAACGTCTGTTGACTGTTCATTTGCGTGAGCGCTTTGTGATCTGCCCACAGTGTTATGCCCCCCTTTAATGTATTCGGAGAAATGTTCCAGGCTGTATACCTGTGCTAGTAGCTCTTTGGTATTTGTGCCATAGCGTTGTTGTACTGGGTTCAAGCCTTTTGAGAAGTAGAGAATGCCTCTTCTAACTCCATCGATGACTTGAAATAAACACCCTCCTATGCTATAGTCACTAGCATCGTTCATAATTTGAAACGGTATCCCATCGACAGGGTATGCTAGCGTTGCTGAACAGGCGATGGCTTCTTTGAGTTCTTCCCACTTCTTTATTAGTTCCGGAGTCCATAACATGAATATGTCCCGGTTCATTTTTTCTTTCATTAGGTTCCGAAAGTGTTTTGTTGTGTGAGCAAAGTTGGGCACATGGTCTCGCATGTAATTTGCTAGTCCCACTGCTTTGTGCAGATCTTTTTTGTTCTGGGTAGTGGCCAATCCATCATTCTTTTCTGTTTCTCAGGGTCTGCCTTGAGTCCCTGTGTGGTGACTTTCACCCCAAGAATGTTGACCACTTTGACCGCAAAGGTACACTTATTGTGATTGAGTCGGAAGTTTGCGCTATTCAGTCGCTTGATTATTTCACGAACTGTCTTGCGGTGTTCTTCTTCTGTAAGACTCGCAATGACTATGTTATCTACATACACTTGCACTCCTTTTGTATCTATGAGCAGATTCGCCATGACTCTCTGGAATTGTGCTGTGAGTAAGTGTAGTCCAAACGGCGCGGACTTGAATGAGTATTGCGCTCCTCTCCACGAGAATGTGAAGAAGTGTTGGCTAGCTTCGTTTACAAAAAAGTGGTGAAATCCTCCTGTAAGATATAGCTTTGAAAAGAACTGTGCCCCTTCTAGGTTGTGTAACACTTCCTTTATTTTCGGTAACATGAACTTGTCTTGTTCATATTGATAATTGATCTCATGTAAGTCTAGACATGTCCTTACTTTCTTGAGGAGACCCGTTTGGTCATGTTCACCTGTTAATAACAACGGCAGGTTCACCGTTGTGGGCGTGTCGCGTTTGTATATGTGACCATTTTTAAGCAGTCGTTGCACATTCTCATCCGTTTGCGGAATGTATTTGTGCGGAACAAAGTTGACTTTAGCGTGCCTCATTTGTCTGACGATGATTTCATCTGCAGGTACTGTGACTTTGGAACCTGATCCAGTAAGTCTGTAAGTGACTCTCTGAAACCTTCTTGTTCGTGCTCTGGGTCCTCTTCATGTGGTGTGAGGAGCGATTCCCATTTCGCATCTGTTGGCATAAGTGGATTGATTAACCCTGCTATGTATATACCTATATATGGTAGAATGTCCATATTTAGAAGTATTGGTGTCTTTTTGTCTGGGAAGTCCAATACTTCAAAACTGAGAGATCTTCCTACCTCCATAATTAATGTCACAAAATTCTGTTGATCCAGTGCGTTATATTCTTGCATCTGTTTGTGCTAGTTGTATATACCCCGGTGGCGCTCTAACAGAAAGATATAGTTCTGACACTACACTTTTGTCCATGCATGAGTGTTGTGCTCACCCGAGTCTACTAGTGCATTATATGTATTGCCATTAATTTGTATG